GTAAAATGACATACATAGAACATAATTTCGTATTTTCCCCAGATTTTCTTCACTTTCTTACATTTTCCTACACTAAAATTGTCCATTCTACTGAAGGAAACTTTCTCTTTGGTTCGTCACACTGTTCGTGAAACCACTTGGCTAATTACTCACTAAAATGAGTTTAAAATACGGAGCACCTGCCTTAAGACTCGCGAGAAAGTACTAAATCTCCTTTTTAAGTTAATCTTCAATTTCCGCACGTAAAGAGGGTTTCCCTCTTGCTTGTTTGTTTTTTTATACTCGAGTTTATGAATTAAAGTCACCGAGGAGATCTAAAGCAAAAATGGGATTATTTATAGAACGGACTGTAAATGACATGTGACATGTCCTAATTCGATGGTAAATGAAAAATTATCCCTATATTCAATAAACTATAAGTAAAATTCATTAAAATACTATGCCTTTATGTAACCCAACACAAGTCGATCACATAAGGCCTGCCGTGAAGACAAATAGCTTCTAAACGGTGTTTATAGGTTTGACCTCTTGACTGAGTTCTAAGTAGTTTTTATGTGACTTTCAAAGTGGAAGACGTAAACCCGTGTTGCACAAGCCATGGAAATTAATATGAGGCATGCTGGATTTGAGATCCATTTCAGAACTCCCACATGCAAACATTTATGTCTGATATTCCTTTCCGGCTGTCAACAAGAGATGCAACCGAGACCCGCATCAATATTCATAGCAAATCATTTTGAGATGGTTAAAAACAGAAGTGATCAGGAATATGCTCTTTAGTTCATCAGGGTTCATCAGTCTCGGGCCACTGAATTCTCAAACCGTTGGACTGGGGAAGCAACCTTATCGATCTCCAAAGGTATAGCGTGTTTCTTATTTTAGATCAACCTGGAAAAACGCTTGGATCAGCGCGGATGAAATGCAAAAATTTCCCTTTTTTTGATCTTCCTTTAGTAATAGGAGGCTACAAGTCTATTTGCTGACAGCGGACTTCAGTGCATTCTATCACAGGTACGTTGAATTGCCATGAGACGTTCAACGCTTCTCAACTCACAACAATTTGGAGGAAAAACAAGTCGACTTTGTAAGGCGAACATATAGGCAGATTGATTTCCTGTTTCCAAACTAATTCTAATAACTTTACAGTCCATCAAAAATAGTTATATACATGCGCCAGCGGTGTCTTTAATAAGATATCATACATTATCTTTGGTGTTATTTTTTTATTCTACCGGATATTAAACTGAGAATAAAAGATTAGTTAAAACGAATATTATGTTATTGTTATCGTTTCTTTCTGATAATTTTCGTTATTGGTATTATGCGAACAAATGAAGGAACCGTGCAGAAATTTGAGAATAATCAAAAAAACTATTTCTGAGAGTTATCTTTATTCATCGGGACAGAACACGACAAACGAGAAGACGACAAATTAGAAATGGGTGGGCAAAATGGTTAATTTCGGATCCTTCGCCCAAAGGAACGCTTTGGATCAGTGATCCAATGATCCGTCTTTAGATCACGCAGATCAGTGATCCGATGAATCCTTGTCCATAGTGGATTTGATAGATCACTGATCTGAAAATGGGCTTGCTCGAAAGGAACGCCACGGATCAGAAATCCTGATTCGGATTCTCCCAATGGAACGCACCCTAAGATTTTTCACCAGGGTTACTAACGGAGAAAATCAAAATGTCCTGCTGCATTCCTTTTCCTGTTTCCAGTATTTCCGTTCCTGTTCACAGCTTCAGTGACGTCCTGAAATATCATCGACTCAATCAAAGTGAACTTAGTTAAAAAAAAAATTAAATGTTTTGTTTCCTTTCAATTTACAATCGATTCCTCTCACCACACCCCAGGTTGGTATCGAATAAGATTTTAGGAGGCCATGGGTGTTCCCTTTACTGATTATTTATTCAGTAATAACAATGTAATCCTATTAAACTTTAGCAACAGAAAAATCAGGGAACTAAAGATGAAACCAAATACCGAGTGGATTGTTATCACAGTCCTCTACGCCATCACGATGTTCGTAGCGTTTGCAGGGAATAGTTTCCTCATCTATATCGTGTGGAAGAAACCTGAAGTCAGATCACTGACAAGCTTTATGTTCGTCAACATGGCCATCGCCGATTTGCTGGTAACCTGGTAGTGATGCCCTGGTCGATTTCCGAAATATATACAGACGGTTTGTGGATGATCCCGGGAGTATTTGGAAAAGTCATGTGCAAAGGTGTTGTATACGTTGCCTATGTCACGTTAACAGCATCCATTCTCTGCCTGACGTTCATGGCGATCAACAGGTACTGCACCATCGTTCATCCCCTCCGCCGCTATCTTTGGTTTCGAAAGCCCAAACTAACCGTTCCATTTATTTGGATCGGGTCACTGGTCTCCATGTCCATTTTCCCTGTTATTCAAACCGTGGAGAACTACAATAATTCTTCCTATTGCATGCTATCTGTTTACATCTTGGGTGATCCAGATTGGGCTCTTCGAGGAATGTACCTCTTCCTTTTCGTCGTCAACTATCTCATCCCCTTGGCAGTTATTTCTTGCCTGTATGCCATCACTGCATGGAATTTATGGTTCCATGTTGCACCTAGAGTGAATACTTTGAGAGGAAATCGGGCGCAACTCGAAACCTCCAAGAGAAGAGTGGTTCGGATGCTCATTATCGTTACCTGTGCCTTTGCCCTTTGTTGGCTCCCACCACAAGTGGTCCACATGATGTACATCATTCACGAATCTAAGGCTTACCTACATATACAGCCGATTGTCAGCTTTGTGTGTTTCTGGTTTGGACACGCTAACAGTGCCGTTAACCCATGGCTGTACATTCTGAGTACCAAGACAAATACGGCATTTACTAGGATCGTCAGTAGAAATAGCAGCGGGTTGCCTTCAAGTCTCACCATCAAAACATCAGATGCCGTCTTACCACCTGAAGATGAAGCAATACAGAATGAATCAAGAATATGATCTCTCTCATAACATGAAACTTTTATTACCAATTTGGTAACTGTACGATAGAAACTCGCTTTAAAAGGATTTACGTATTACTAATTATATAATATAATAAAAACACTTATATACGGTTTCATAAAAGTTACTGTGGTAATCCGAGAAATTTCATGAGAAATTGATATTTGTGATCAATTGTTTTGAGCCAGTGTGGTGAGGGTGCTGAACTAGTGATCTGGTGGTCACGGGTGAAAGCCCTCTACCTTATTACTCGCTGGATTTATTCTCGTTTTTCCCTAGGGTCGATTCCTTGACTCGCTTGGATTTCTAGACACTATGATTATTTACAACGTCTGTTTTCCAATTTGATTGAAATGGTCATAAAAGCCCCATGAGGGTATTGGTCAAGAAGGAAACACTGACATGTTTCTTCAGTGCTCCGGGTAGCGTTGATTAAGTGTATTTGCATACCGCTTTCGCGATAATAACTTAACAAACAATGTAAGTTTATAATTAGCTGTTTTGAAAGGAGATTTGTACTTTGTAGATTTGGAATATTACTTTTCCGACGATGGCAGCAACAATATAACCAGTAAATGTGTACGCAAACCCTGGCTGATGTACCTTTGGAACAAAGGCACATTTGGTTTTTCTAGTATCACCTTGTTATTGTTTCTTGCTGAAGCAGTCATCAAGGCTTTTAGGTCTACTTAAGTGTAATCTGGGAGAGCTGAATATAGGTTTTATGTCTCATTTAGTTGTGCATTTTAGAGCCCCAAACACACTAGCCAAAGGTACCGGTTTAGTTAATTTTTTTGCGATACACAGAACATTATTGCCCTCTTAATTCCCGCCGGATTGCTATATTCTGAAAGCCGCTCTCGTAGATTAAATTGTTGAGTACTGAGAAGCAAATGCAGGGAGATTTTGGATGCGACCTCCCTTTGAAAAGACCTCTATGGAAAAAGAGAGTGTTGTGAAGTGCTATTACTATTCAAGATTTTTTTTTTTGGATGTGTTTGTGAACTTGTATAAAAAATGCATTTGACCGGGTCAGAATCTTGAACAAGGGGTTAAACTCTGCAAAGACAGTCAACACATTAGCTACATGTTCACTAATAAGGTATTTTAGAGCATGCACTACAGTGAATAAAAGAGAGGGACAATTTGGTAAGCTATAGAAAATGTAATAAAGAAGAAGAGAACAAAGAGCGTTGGTGTCTCCTGATTGTGTGGGTCTACTCAGAAGCTAGTTTTATTTGTCATTGCATCTTTACAGAAGGTTATACAATGAACAACAAACAAAGTTACTCACACACCCAACTAAGAGAATTTTTCCAAAGTCGAAGTAAAAATGAAGAAGGTTTTGAAACAAAAAGGAGAGATGTAAACATATTTTTACATTGTTTACGCTAATTTATTTGATTATTCATCACGAGAAATGTATAGAAAATCCTGATGCAATGATGCATGGTTCTAAAACGTTTCTTACATGACCCTTTTACTCCCATGAGTGACCATGACAGAATTTCTCCTTAGCAAATCAATACAATATCAAACAGACAAGTCATGAGAAAAAAAATCAACTAGGGGATTATTAGTTGATTCAATAAATTCTCAGAGCTAACATCATAACAGTTGTATCGCAGACAGTAAGGAGAATTACTAATGAGATTTTGGGAGCGAAAGGATTAAGAGAGACACTGAAGTGCCGAGGAATCCCAAACAAAAAAAATTGTTTCAGTTGATTTCCTAGATATAGATACACGTTTAAAAAAAGTTTTAAACTTCTTGATTTATTTATAAAAACCATTTATTGCCCTAGCTGTTTGGCCTCTATCGAATATCTTAAGTTTAAGTCTACAGTCAATTTTTGTTGACTTGGCAGGCCATTAGTTGTGATTAAAATGAATACACCTCTCATGGAAAAGGCGAAAGATTACCAGCCAAAGGTTACGGTTAAGTGTCTGACAGCGGGATAAAATTGAAAAAATTGTCATACGTAACAAATTCAAATTGTCTGACAGATTATGGAGTTATTTGTCACCCATGATATCAAGGTAGTAACAAAATTTTCCTATTTCTTTATTTTCATCTTTTTCTCCGTCGAGATGTAGCAGGACAGATATTTTTTGGGCAGCAGACGTTAAGGCCAGCAAACCATCTAATAGACCTGGTGCTGTTCTGTGTCTACCGTTTCGATTGGCAAGGCCATATATTCTGTCAGGGGAAGAGCACAGTGGCCATGAATAGTATTAATAAGATCTTCTGAAAAAAAGGAACTCCCAGTTACCATTTCTAGCCTGAATGACAACTCTCTTCCATGTTGGTTGCCTCTGAGGTGTACGAGATGGCAGCTTACCTTTCCTCGAGATCATTATGCTGTCCTTCGTTTCCACAGCGTTTGGTAATCTCTCCTCCAAGGAACATCGACCAAATCTTTTTAACGTAGAAGATCATGCTACCCCAGTAATCCTTAAAAAGAAAAACGAATGGAATGTGGGCACTAATTGTAAGACTCGAGGCATCAGTTAAGTGAGTTTTACGAGTTTCTTCCTCCGTCACCTTAGGAAGAGTAACATTGGACGTGAGTTCCTGAACTTCACAGGTCAAGACTAATGGTCGACGAACGGCGGTATTTGGTGACTGTAACCACCAAGAAAAAAGGTTTCTGATAAAGGAATTGTAGTCTTTATTGCTTGAAAACTGTTTGGGACCCTCGCGAACACAGTGGCCATCTGAAAAGAAAAACTCCCAATCTCCATTTCTAGCTTGAATGATAAACTCTTTCCCTGGCTGCCATATAATGAAGGCAGCGTTTGTTAGATCAGCGCACATGTCATTTGCGTTCGAGATGAATGAGATGGCAGCGCGCAGAAATTTTAAGGTTGACTGGTCATCTTCACTGAGATTTCCATGGTGTCCTTCGTTTCCGCAACGCTTTGCGATCTCTTTTCCGAGGACTGTTGATGATATTTTATCAACTCTTAAAATGTTGCTTGGGTAATCCTGGCAAGTAAAATGCAAAAAAAAAAAATGCTTTCAGTAGCCTGCAAGATTCTCAGGAAATTCTCACGCCATTTTCCCCCAGCTTTCTTTTTGTCGTACTATGTCTACACTCATTAATATTTAATAATCGAGCCGAAATTTCTTGGAAATACAGCTAAACCTCTCTGGTAAACAATAATTATAGCAGATGAAGCCACTAAAAATTTGCCTGTATGTACATTTTCAAAAGCAAAACATGCAAGCTCAGTGTCAGCACTATGAAATGATGATCAGATATATTATTAATTACAAGCTGTTTGCTTAGTGCATGTTTCATGTAACAAACCCGTAAAATGTTGGTTTTTACGTCTTACCAACGTTTGTTTAAGACAGGTGTTCTTTCTGACGAGATCAATTTCGTGTAAACAAGTGCAATGTACGTCTTCATGGAGAAGAAACATTTCCTGCCCAATCGAGACAAAATAGACCTAAGTCTATTATTGAAGTGAAGCTGTGATATGCGGCCTAAGCTTCAAATGTCCGCGAATAAAATTATATGTATATATATATATATATTCTTGCTTGGCAAAAACCGTATGTGAAGCTTAACCTTTAGGAATATATCTGTTGTAAGTTTGACAACAAGGTTATTTTTCCTTTCCGATGTCATTCTTGTTATTTCCCATAATTTGAAGATATTGCTAGCAAGCTCAGGAAAAAAGTCGATTGACTTAATTTACGGCTATGGAATTTTGTCTATGATTCGTTCACGGCAAGGCGGTTTTTTTTTTGTTAACAAAAGATACGGGTTACTTTCGCTTTCATGCAGCATATGATGTTTATTTTCCCTTTTGTAAAGTGAATGGATATCACGTGTGTACCTCATGAAAAACTAGTTGAAATCACGCTTGGAAGCCAATTGGGCGATAAGTAGGTAATAGAAGTACGAATGCCAAGCGCGATTTCCACTTGTCTTTCTATCACAATTGCTTCATTGTTCAATCCAAATTGATGAGTATCCGTAGATTCGTCCCAAATTTGACTCTAGGAGCCGTTTTTGAAAAAGTTGCAGATTCATCAACCGTATTCGTGACGAAAGGCCAAATCACAGCGAAAAGGCCAAATCACAGCGAAAAAACTGCGGATAAAAAAATATCCGGATACGTGTGGACAGGGCCTAAGTCCGTCTGTGGGATTTAATATGAGCCAAATAAACTTAAAGTCCATGTAAAATGCCAGCTTCTATTCAGTTTTAAATTTGGAAAGTTTGAATCGAATGCGACTGCAGTCGCGACCATAATTAATGCATATTTCATTTGTTATCACATTTACCCAGATATCCACAGTTGCAGATTCAAGGACATGCGCAATGAAGACGCGCAAATTTCAAACATACGAAAACGAAAGCAGTAGGGCATTATTCATTAGTCATTGTTGCTTAAAGTGTGAGTTTATTTATTTTATTTTTCTCTTTCCCCTTTTTTTCTTCATACTTTCTATTCCTTTTTATATTTTATTTTGGAAGAGCTATTCGGTTTTTGAAGATGAAGAAGCATTAGGTTGGAAAGAAACAGTTCGCTCTTTTACCTCTTTTACCTAGATTGATTTCGGAAAATAACAAATGAAATTCATGAGCTGGAAGTGGATTAAGACAGACTTAATGAAAAGGAAATTGAGTGCTCTAACTGAGTATCGTGACATTTCTCTTTAATTAAAGTAATACTGTTGCAAAAGTATGCCTAGAAAAGCCATTTTCTTCATGCCAAGACATTATGAGATATCGTCGAATGTTTTCTAATTTCACCAGAGCCGTCTTAAGTCGGGATTACATTTGGCGCATATTCAGAAGACAACGTTTAAAACAGGATTGAGTCAACCTTGCTCGTAGCAGGAGTCATGTGCATGTGCCTATTTGCACATGTACGTTATCGGTAAGTTTAAGACTTGAGATCCTAACAGAGTAATCAGCAGCTACCCGATGTATTTCCATAACTAACAAGATGCAGTAATTCAAACCGCGGACGGAATCAAAAATATAACATTACTGGCCCTCAGACCTTTCGTGAGTGTTTTAAAATTGAAAAGCTGAGATATCACAGTGATTATATCTCGATCATTTGCCATCGTTGTGCACCTGAAAAAGTTGGATTCCTGCAGGAACTTGGTGTTGCACGTGGGTCGAGTATGTTGCCCCTTTTTTCTTTGCCTTGATGTTTATGTACGATTATTTAAAATTTCAGGGGTTTCCGGAAGAATTGAAAATCAGAGTGAAGAAAACAAGCCCACATATTCTTGGAAATAAGATTCGATGGCTGTGGAAAGGAAAGTAAAGTCTCAGTGAATTCGACCGGATGGAAGTTAAAGTTTTGAAAACGGCCATCCATTTAATTCCAAAAGGATTGCAATGTTTTTCTGTCGGTTAAATTATACCGTAACAGAAATTTTTGGTTGGTTATAAGTAAATTGTCAGGCGGCTCTCAGACTTCTCATGGGTGTTTGCTGAGATATTGCAGGGATGATATCTCAATCGTTTGCCATCGTCGTGGACCCGAACAGGTTTGATCCCTACAAGAACTCGGCATTGCATGTGGGTCGAGTTTGTTGCCATTTTTTTCCCTTCCGCCAATGGTTTTCTCAGGATTTTTATGTAAGATGATTTAAAATTTCAGGGGTTTCCGGAAGAATTTGAAATGGAAATGAGATTGCATCGCTGCGGGAAGTAAAGTCAAGTCTCAGTGAATTCGACCAGATGAAAGTCAATTTTTTAAAAGCGGCCATCCATTTCTTTCCGCAAGTATCGGAAGATGGAGCTGATCTTGGAAATGCAGCTTTCACATTTGCCCTTCCAGGAAACCAGTTCGTCCTCATATCTGGAGCAGGTGATTGGGAATACTATTTTTCCTTGGACGACAACAACAAAATAATCGGTCGATGTAAACACAAACCAAGGCAGTACTATGTTTGGGACGGTATCAAATTCACTATTTGTAGAATCCCCGAGTACTTGTCAACAGCACTTGCAATTGTCGACGGAGTTAAAACTTTAAAGAACGCTTGGAAAAACCTTGAACTGTTAAAGTAACTAACTGTATATATAGACGCTGCCACGAATTGCTTGAATTGCGAGAAAACAACTCTATGTAGCTCAAGTTGTCAAATGATGCATACGGACCAACATGACAACTGAAAGCTTGCATGTCAGGCTTGACACCGATGACCATTTGATGAATAAGGCCAACGAATTTTGATGCGTTGGCTCAGCATTCTGCGAAATAGTATCCCTAAAAATTGTTTCTTGTTGTTCCAATGTTTGTTTAATCACAAAATTCATATATAAAATTTGAAATACAGCATAATATTATTAAAATTAATTAAATGCAGTTCCCTGTGTGAATACACAATTGTCATTCCTTTTAACATAACCTGACATCATTTTGATGAAAAATAGCACATTTCTCATAAAAAAAAATGAAACATTAAAAGGCACTCAGCTTGCCTTAAAATGTCGGAAGTCGTATTTGTAAGGTCTTTTAATTTTGAAATTTTCCGGAGGGTAAATGTGTTTCGCTAACCCTCCTACCCCTCTTACCTCCCTTACTGGCAACCATCTTCAAGGTTCACTCCAAAACATCTAAATCAAATCTTGGATTCGCCAGTAGATTCGCTATGCATCAGTAAAATGTCAGATTATGTGCTAGTCATATGCGACGGTAACTCACAGTGAAATGCCGTGATCTCGCTCTTAAAGGTCTTGTAATAAATCTTGCTTTTCTGACTTTCAGAATTTCGGTTAACAGTTAATATGCTGTAATCTAATAAAGTAAAACTTGTCTTTAGTGGAAATTCAAATTAGCGCAGCGGGAACACTCCGATTAAACTCGAAAAAAATTTTCTATATTGAATTTCCCAGTTAACTCCGCACCATTTAAGTGCCAACACAAAAATTAAACCTAATTTAATCGAAGTTTATAAAAAATTATATAGATATCATTCTTCATCAATATAACATGATTGAATCAAACACTCATCAAACTCATTATTACGAAAAACTTTAATTTGAGCAGCTCTAGGTTTAAATGATATTCCATAGGATGCTTGGCATATACTTGTCCAAAATGCCAAAACAGCTATATCACACTATTTATCAAGCTTGATATCTTTATCTTCTTTTCCATCTTTATCAAATAACTTTGTTTTCGGTGTGATAGGAAATTCTGATGCAATAGATAAAATCTTTTACCGTCTACCACCTTATATGGTATTTTCAGCATCCTTTTTAAATTACCATGTTGACCATAGTCATCATAACCAACATTAGCATGTTTTGGCAGGTTTTCACCCATACCCCATTGTTTTCTGTTTTCGTAGCATTTATCCATAAAAAAACTCATCAAGTTCTTGGCTTTTTAATATATTTGTCATTATCATGGTGTAGTGATATACTAGCATTAAACCAAGTCTATTTTAATGGTTGATACTGCTGATGAGTTTAATAGTTTAAGTTTCATCTGTCTGTTAATTGGTAAATAAAAGCATACTACTCATCTTGATGATCCACTGGAATGTTTTTGGTTAAGTCTCTAAAATTACCATCATCAATTAAGAGGTTAAACTGGCAATCACCATTATTTTTTATAAACGACAGTGCAAAAGTTGTTATTATCATGGATGGTAACTGATAGTACACCTTTGTATACTACAAACAGCATAATAAAAGAGTCGGCTTGGTTAAATTTTACTGGAATGTAGAAGTTTGATTTATTTAATCCAAATAATGTCAATTCATTATTTGCGATAGGTAATGAAAACAAATCATCCACTACTCCGCTTTTATAAGAAGTCAAATCAGTAAAGTCTACCAGGAAAGAATCTACGTTTCTGGGAAAATTGTTAAACTTGCTTTTTTTATAAAAGACTCTTCAAAAAGTTGCTATTGTTCTGTTTGTGTTATTTAGTAAATTTAAAACACCATTGCTGTAACTCATAATACAATTAACAAATAGATTCCAAGTTGTCGTGCGTCTGTTCAGTAATAGATCACAGATGACGTCAAAATGTGGTAAGAACAAAAAAGTGGCACACGAGGCGCAGCCGAATGTGTCACTGATGTTCTTATCACATTTTGACGTCCTCTGTGATCTATTACTGAACAGACGCACGACAACTTGGAATCTATTTGTTAATTGTATTATGAGTTGTATTATTACGGCAACTTGGAATCTATTTCTTTTATAGGATAAAGAATTAACAAAAGTTTTAAAGATGACGTCATCCGTACTTCTGTCCTCCAATAGATTATGAGTGAGAACCAATCAGAATGCGTGCATAACTGAGCTTATTTTATAATTAGTAATATCATTAATTTTCTGTAATACCTTTGTTATAATAAATTCTGAATATAGTCTTTCACGAAATATTAGGGTATTTACAGTATTTGTTACTAAAATTTGGGTGTTTTCTTGGAGATGGGCTTGTATTGTATAATTTAAAGGGTAAAACTTTAGTACTCCTTTGTCGTCTTTAGTATCAAATAAATGATGATCGTATTCTGTAATAGAACCGTCATCGCCTTTAAGTTTTATTTGTAGGTATGAATTAAGATGAGATTTATAATTATCAAAAATAGATACCAAATAAATAACTTCGTTCACAACTGTAAGTGAATGTCGATCGCTCTAGAGTCAGACTGAAGAACAATACCTACACTAACAGGGTCAGAAGGTTTTAAAAATTCCATATGATCAGTTGTTATCATACATTGTACTGCGATAGTAAACTTTTTTTGTTGCAGTATCAAAGACTTTTTTTAGTAATAGGATTTTGAGGTCTAGTTGCATCAGGAACTTCTATCGGTACATTAAATGTTATACCTTGGTTTGTCTTTTCTTAAAGTTTATCCCAAAAACTAACTGGAAAATCATTATGACAACCCTTTACACCATAAATGACCACAGGTATTTTATTTAGATATGCAGCACCACTTCTATTTTTCATCATAATATCAAACATGAAATAATTTGGTGCTGGATTATAAAATTTTGTCGCATGAACAATAGTTCTTGTATTTTTATCAAAACTGGTGGTTGTCATTCTCGAAACGTTTTCAATTGAGCCTGTTACTGTAAAAGATACTGTGTTTATATCAATTCTATCACCGTCCCAAAATAATTAAAAAACTACAGTATATTCTGATTTTACTACTTGATACATGTTAACACCAATTCTTCCACTGTAATAAGCTTTAAAATTGTCTGTTTGAAAATCAAAAGGTTTGACTCTTTTTCTAAAGTGGTTGTTAACGAAGTCTTTCCCATCAACATCATCTTCATCACTAAAGTGACCAGTTTGATTTATAATATAAGCTAAATCATTTTTCATAGCTACATGCTCACTTTATGCTTTAATTGATCACTGACACATTTTTCGTATTGTGTTTTCATAAATGCAGTATTATCAGCAACAGTAATGTTAACAAACTTAACATTCGCAGCACGATAACTATCATGAGGTTGAGAATCAGCTACGTTTACAATATCACTGAGATTCATATCAAGATCTCCAGTCATCTTTTTTTAACTACCAAGCGGTAAAAGTCAAGAGACTTTTGCATCTACTTTAGCGATGCTTTCTTTGTGACTTATTTCTGTATTGAAAACAGAAGTGTCTACTTTAGCTGATATTGCTGCACGAATACCTTGAATGACAGAGTTACCTACTCTTCTTAGCTAATTCTGTGTTAACGTAGCTAAGCTCTGATTTTTTAGCTAATTCTGTCTTAACATAGCTAAGATCTGCTTTATCAGCAAGTCTGATATCCATATTAGCTTGACTAGCTTTACCACTTAATTCATTGAGCATAACAGAAAGGTCTGCTTTCTTTTTAAGCTAATCATCTACGTATACCTTTCGAGTTGCTGAATTATTGGTAGCAGGATCACCTAAACCATTGACTTGTCTATCATAATGCGACTTTGTGGAATCAAAAGTAATAGCACCTTCCATAGTTCCACCAGTCTTTCTGTTTAAAGAATCAGACTAGTCAAAAGCATCATGTTTTTCAGCTAACTCTGCGTCTACATATGCTTTGCTTGTTACAGCATCATCTCTTAAAGGAGTACCTAAACGTAAGACTTGGCGTTTATTATCTGCATCACCAGCAAACCTGATAACATTTTCCACTATTCCACCAGCCTTTTTATTAAGATAGGTTTGCCGGATATGAGTCAAGATAACTACTTCTTGGTTATCTTGAGAAGCAGAGTCAAAGTCTGGGATTCTTATTTTAGATTGAAAGGTTTGAACATTTAATGTTTGAAGATCTTCTTTGTTTGCTAATTCTGCCTTTAAGTTGTCATGTGATGTAGTGTCAGCTTTTTTATATAATTCATCATCAGCATATTTTTTAATAACTGCATCAGCATCTTCTTCAGGTTTGGCAACATTTACTAATCGTTTATCATCAATATTAAAATTACCCTCCGGAGTATGCTTGAAACCTATTCCAGGAAGACCTTGCTTTCCTTGTTTTCCTTGACCGCTTGATCCATATTCCAAAAGACCATTGTTGTAACTCATTATAATATATCTTAGATTGTTTCATTGAAGTTTTTTGTAAAAGATTTATTAGGTTTATCAACATAAGCAAAACTATATGGTTCATCAGTTGCTGCATGGTATTCATATTTTGATATATTGTTCTCACAACATATTGCGCTTCTTTCATTATTGCTTGGAAAATTATAAAGACAAAAATGTTAGCAGTTTAATCTTGTATCTTTTAGTGTTTTGTAATAAGATTGACATAGATAAATAACGCTAAATAACGCGTTGTTCCATACAAAGCCTTAGAAAAGTTTTCTAAGGCTTTGTATGTCCCGCGTTTTCCGTCCTGTCATGAAATATTCAATCAATGGCTTTTGGTTCTTTTCACAAATATAATCATCAAATATTACTAATTTTTGGTTCTCATCGTTTGATTCAGATACCGGGACTATTTCATCATTACTTGGAGTGATGACATCATAACCACACTCATCCCTAGTACTTCAAAATTATCAGTTAATTTTTTGGTACTCACTCAGTTCTAAATTTTTAGCATAAAGGTAGATTTTATCATAATAGAGAAAATTATAAATCATATGCATAAGAGTATTTATTTTACCACAACCACTTGGTCCACAAAATGGCATTCTAAAGTTATCTCTTGGCATAAAGTCATATAATTGCTTGTAATTGTTTTCAGCTCCTCCACAATCATAATTAGGTACTTACATTTATATATTTAAAGATAAGATTGTTAAGAGAGTTCACTTTAAATTGTAATTATATGTATTACAACAAGTTCTACGTCTTAAAAATATCTTATAAATAGATATATAAGGAGCTTATTAGCGTGGAAAAAATCAGCAGAAAAAAATCAGAAATAGGAAAAATCATTAACGAGGTTGAAAGTGCAATTGTACAAAACAGCATTGTTGACCAAAAAAATGATGCTTCATATTAAAATCTTTTTAAACCAGTCACTGATAAATTAGATGATGTCATTTTTACAAACCTAATACCTAATAAGCAAAAAAAGAAAGTCAATAAGAAAGCTCTTGAAGCTATTGATTACAAACCGGATGTTGATCCATATGAAGATATGGATGTGGAAAGTCTCATTGAAAATCTAGATAATTATGTGGTTTCTCAAGGGGAAAAACAACTAGCGGTAGTTCCACCAACATATGAACAGTCATTAGAAGATGCTATAATCCAAGGTTTAAATGTTGATCCAGAATATTTTGCTCAACCAGATGATTCACCTCCAACATATAATGAAGATGAAGGCATTGATTATACTCTTGACTAAGAATCGACAGCTGTTAGTAATGCTGTTGAGAAAAAAGAAACGTTGCAGAAGAAAACACTTACCTGTTTGATACATTAAAAATTAATGCTGATAGTGCTCTTTCAAGTTGCAGACTTGAATACGGAAATGGGGTGTATTATCCTGAAACTGAGTATGATACTGACACTAAGGTCAAAATTTAGAATGATCTAATGAATTATTCTTGGAAGAAAAACGATTACAACTCAGAAACTCAAGTTAATCTATCGAACTTCAACACACTTTATCCATTGATTTATTTTGATTTGTCGTACCAAGCTGAAGAACTAACACGTGATCCTAAAGAGTTGATATTTAGATATAAACTAACTGCAGATAGTACAGACACATTCAGAGTTCATGCTATTGGGTTGTATGAGGAAGAAGTAGTGGTCGATCAAATTGGAAATCAACTTGTTTTCGTCTAAAATAATATTTAGCCTTGATCTAAGATATTAAAAATAATATTTAGCTTAAATTATAAATGTAATAACGTTCTTTATGTCCAAAAAACTACACTTAACCGATTGCAAAAAAAACTATAAAATTAAAAAAAGAAATGGAGGTTAAACTTGCAAAAACTAACATTAGAAAGCAAGTTGGTAGTGATGTTTTAAACTCACTTTTACCTTTAGCTAGGACATTAGCTCCTTCTATTGGAAAAACACTTGGTCTTTCTGCTCTTGCTGGATTAGCTAGTAAGACGGCTAGTCAAATAGTTAAATCAATTTCTGGAGGTGGAATACCATACTTTGTCTCTCATGATAATCTTCAACAATTCGCTAAAAATGCACACTTGTTAACAAAAATCAAATCAATGATATTGCTAAGGCTCATTAAACTGGTAGCGGTATTAAGAAAATAACTGGAAGTGGAAGTCCACAAATGGGATCTCTAGTTAAAAGCGGAAGAGGAGTTCCTCAAATAGGTGCTCCTTCACCTTTTATTGGAAATTGATCTAATTCTGTTGGAAGGGGTAAAAAAAAAACGTCTGGAGAAGGAATATTACTGGGAAAAAACAGCTCATGTAAGGGAGTTCCTCTGCTAGCGGTAAAAAGACCTAAATTCCATCATAATATTTCAATGAGCAATCATGATTTAATCGAATGTTGCAATTATTCAAAAATTCCTATTAATAACGTCTTATCTAGAGACCAAAAAGTACCCCATAAACATAAATTAGGATTATTTATTTACAATCTTGAACCTTCATACATGGATGGAAGCCATTGGGTTGCTACTTATGTTAAAGATAACACCATTAATTATTTTGATCATGCTAAAAAGAAAAAAATTAACACTTTTTCATCAAAACAATCAAAAACAAGATTTATACACTACCACACGTGGATACTTTTGCTTATAATTTTTGAATCAAATGACTGATGGGGTTGAATAGTTTGATTTACTCAAAGTTTTTGACATTAACAATACAATACATAATGGAAAATTCATATCTAAATAGTTTAATATTGTGTAAAAATATAATGCAAAGTTACTGTGTGAAACAAAGAAAACAAACTGCTTGTGTTCCTGGTCGTGGAACTCCTTTTTTAACTAAAAATTACAGAAATATGATGAAATGCATATGCGCTGAATGTGAGAAACAAAGACTAGATTTCTTAAAAGTACTGGTGTAAGAGCGACAACAAAGCCAACAAAACGGCGAGCTACCAAAAAGAAATAAATTATATAATATAATGGTAGCTTATTATGTTATACCAAAACGACAAACTGAAAATGTTCCTGGTAGTGAAAGTTGTCATTACTACTAAAAACAATAGGAAAATGGTTTAATCTAAATGCGCTGAATGTGGAGCAACTAAACGTCAATTCGTTGCCAATACATCAGGAGGTGTTCTTGATATTCCCTAAAGCTATTGGTAAACTACCAAAACCAAAAGGTGGTTGTACATTACCTGGTCATAAATACACTGGACCATATAATGATTTAGATTCTCAAATAAAGTTTAATCCAAAGACAGGTGAGATTCTTGAGATATATGATAAACCAACAGGTGCAACTGATGCTATTGCAATGCAGCATGATGTTGATTATAGTGTCTGTGGTGATGACAGAAAATGTAAAAATAGAGCTGATAGAAAAATGGTCAAATCTCTAGATGCTGTTCCTTAGAAAAACGACTTAAATTGGCGGGAACAGCTTGTGGATGAATTACACAAACCATTAAAGCGTAATTTTATCAAAAGACAAGTCATTGTTCATCATATCGAAGATATATGGTGTGCTGATTTGGTTGAAGTGCAAAAATATAGCAAATCGAATAGAGGTTATAAATATCTGCTTATGGTCCTAGACATATTTAGTAAATACGGTTGAATAAAGCCTTTGAAAGATTAACGAGGTGAAACTGTGTCCCAAGCATTTAATCAAATATTTCTAGAAGGTAGAAAACCAAAATATTTATGAGTAGACGATGGAAAAGAGTTTTACATTAAAAACATCCAAGATCTCTTCCAAATATATAACGTCCATATGTATTCAACAAATAACGAAGAAAAGTCTTCTGTTTGTGAAAGATGGAATAGAAAAATTAAAACAAAAATGTGGAAGCAGTTCACTGTTCAAGGTAACTCGCAGTATGTTGAGATATTACCCAAAATATTGCATGAATGTAATAATACCAAGCATAGTTCAATAAAAATGACTCCTGTGGAAGCTAGTAAAAAAAATTAAGGGACTGTTTAATTTAATTTATTTGGTGACATTAAACCCTATGTGGAACCTAAGTTTCAGATAGGAGATATGGTTAGAATAAGTAAATACAAAAGAAAAACCTTTGATAAAAGTTATATTCCAAATTGGACTGGAGAAGTCTTTATTATCGATAAAATAGGATACACCAATTCAATCACTTACAAAATAAAAGATCAAAATGTTAAACAAATTAAAGGAAGTTTTTATGAGCCTGAGCTGTTGAAAACAAACCAAAATATTTTTAGAATTGAAAAGGTAATAAGGAGAGACAATAAAAAGAAAAGAGCATCAGTCAAGTGGAAAGGATATAGTGATGACTTCAACAGTTGAGCTCCATTTGATGATTTTCGTTAACATAAAAATATTTACTGTGCATTTCTAAATATTTGTCAACCACAGGACTCTTATCACACA